GGTGATTGTACCGAAGCCAACGTAGAGACGGCGTGGTAGATTTCTTGCTCAAAGGAATCAACGGGATTCTAAGTCGCCAGACTTCATATCACTGTGGCGACACCATAATAATCATAATGATAACGGTAGTAATGATGAAAAGGATTGCTTCTCAATAATGATTAAGGTAGCGGTGACGTTGATCATCAAAGTTTCCACCGACTTCATCATGATTGCCGCCATTAGAACAGATTTGGTTTTAGTGAAGTGGAGGAGGAAAAGGATTGCGATGACGTAGACGACGACGACGACGATGAGATCGTGATGGTGATGAAGAATGATGATGTACGAGAAAGCTTTTTTGTACTTAAAAATGGTAACGAACGGCAAGAAAACCCATCGGCGTTTCAATGTTCCTCTCTTTTGTTATTGAATCTCCTCCCAAATGTCAGCATGCGATGTGTGCATCAGGTGCAGCTTTCGAACTGATCGGGATTGTCGTTATTATGTTATGTCATGCATGGCGATTCGAAATATCCTATCACTTTTGTAATCACTTAAGACCTTTCATTCTACATGCATCTTCACGTTACCCAAATCCGTTTGAAAGTATACTTCTATGGAAAAAGGTGAGCTTCATGATTAAACGACGACGCGGGGGCAGCTGATGTATCCGAAAGTCGATGAATAATCAAATGGTGATGTCTGCGAAAGAGACGAAGCGGACATCGGTAACTATCATCTCGGAATGTCATAACATGGCCACGGAAGCTATGACTCAGCGCGTGCTGCTTCGATATGCCGTTGTGCTTGATGTTGACAGTATGTTTCTTTTTGGCGTACCCCACACATCTGCCAGTTTTTCTATTCAGACGGTAACCGCCATGTCGTGGCGCGAAAGTAAATTCACATCAGCCAATTATGTAGTTGTCAGACGAAGTTCATTTTACCTTAATACAGAAAAATGATATTTTTCGTTCCATAGGTGGCCAACTCCCGAAAAGTCAGATTGTGCAACGTCGCCTATAATTGTACATTTATTCTTACGGAAAACGACACTTGTCAGATTTGACATTACTTGAAAATACGAAAACAGCGGCCATAAAATTATGACCTCTCCGATGAGTTTTCTCCAATAATGGTCATAATTTAAGCGAGAGCCACATCGTTCGATTCCCCTCTCGTTAAGCCGCTTTTACCCGTTCAGGGTGAACTCTGTAATGAGTCATTGATGGGTGTGCGCTGAAGTACATGGCTAAGGTCATGAGTGAAACGAGTGCCGGTGTCAGGCAGTGTTCCTCACAGTTCTGATGGTGCTCGGCGTTGGGAGGGATGCGTTGTCGCAAGCGACGACGCTCCGAAGCGGGAAAGGACACGAAAAACGGCCGTCCATCGCTGCGCTGCGGCGGCGCTTCGCTGACGTCTCTGTGACAGGTGAAATCACTCATGCTTAAGTTGCATGCTTATGAAAAGGATCGGGTGACTCAGACTTTTCCTGTTATCTAAACAGCTGAATTAATGCACATTTAACTTTTACGTTTTTTGGCAAAAAATCTTTGCAAGGGAGTCTTCTAAAATGTTCATATTGCAGTCCTCCAAACTTAGATTTTGTCCCAGTACTGCTGCGGCGAAGTCGACAGCTTTGCCGTTCAAAGCGCTACCGCCATCGACCTCCCATCAGCAACGCCGCTCCGCCACCCACTCTTTTATAGTATGAAGTTCGCTTTACTTTACGTTACTTTATATTCTACTGTTCATTTACTCTATCGTGTTTTTTGTCAGCCTATGAAGTACAAGCATAACCTATTTCATGATAATACTGGTGCCTGTTTTGACACGAGAGTGATTGGCAAGTTACCACGACTCTTTTCCACCTGATCTGCTTTAAAACGTTTTAATCAAGCTTGCTCGACGGTCGGATATTTAGCTATAGCCTTCCTGTTTTAAGAGTACAGGGTAGTAGAAGATATTGAGCCAAACGAATTGAGCAAAAAGCTTAACGTCATGGTGGCCATCTGAATGTAGGTCTCGTAGGCCGATGAACCATTTCGATCGGCCAGAAATCCGCTGTTGTTCATGCGTCGTATCTTGTTTGATTTGCCCTCGCGGCACACACAGAGCACTTAAACCATATTTAATAATTTAATAATTATCATCGCTGGTGTCTGATGCCAGGTCGCACGAAACAGCCACTGGTGATTCTTCTTTCCCCGCTGATTATTTCAAGACCGTTCCCTTGGCTGTTGTTTCGCTAGATAGTAAATAGGGACAGTAAGAATCTCGTTGATCCATTCATGCGCGTCACTAATTAGATGACGAGGCATTTGGCTACCTGACTAATGCTCATGTTTGTGAACTGGACATGGTCGGTCACTTTATGACTAATCAACGCAGCTGGTTCGTCACATCCATCCGCATAGTTGGACATAACCAACAATCTTGCTCAGCAGGTAGAGACGCCGAATCAAAACCGAGAGCATAGTTTGTGCAGCAGACAGGTCACTTGCCTTTTTCCTTCCGAAGTTGATGAAAAGGTACCATACTGTGGGAAGAAAACAGGAGACTGAACACTAAGCTTGTCAAATGACTGGGAATGTTTCCACAACCGCCTTGTAAAGCGAAACCAAAGCCGATTTTCTTACAGAACCGCTCATCACTACTCGACGACCCTGACCCATTGCTTGGAAAGGACTTGAGTACCATGAGGTTCTGATGTGTCGTACTCGTCCTGAAATCAACGGTAATCGTTTTTAATACAAAGATGCTACAT